GGACGCGTAGTAACCTTCGGTTAACCGTTTTGAACGAAGCGAGGACGAAAGTTCAAGCGGGTTGCTACGCGGGTCGGACCACTCCTAGGAAGAGTGGGCTGGGGCCATGTATGTCGGGACTGGACGTTACAGACATTCGAGGGAAGTGCGAGGCCTCTTTTATAAAAGCACCAACGCGTGCGGGACTCCCCCGACACGGGCCGGCCTCGCGTGGGCCGCTGCGTGCGCTGCCTCGCGTGGGCAACAAGAGGTGAAGATCAAATGGTCAACCAGGCTGGTTACAACATCTCCAGGACTCGAGCAGTCCTCCAATACCTTCTCCTATCCCCATAAAACTGTCATATTGGGGTCATTGTGTTTGTAGGGTAAGGGTAGTAAGCCAACCTCCCGGGGATTGAATTCACATGGGCATGCATTCGGGAGGCAGCAGAGCCATGACTTATTGGGGCTAGCCCGATAGACGAAGTTGTTCTTCATCCCTAAGTCATAGAGGAATGGCATGGCCCCAAAGTTGAACCGGAGGTGGAGAAGGACGAATGCGCCCTCAGTGTTGGTGATGACGGGTTCGCTATAGAAGCTAGCCCTCGTACTTGGTGCAACCCTCAAGACCGAGGCAGTGAGCTCACAGGTAGGAGAGGAGCCAGCGGATCTGTGAGGCAGAAGAAAACCTCGATGGTGACGCCACCATTACAGGGGGGCAAAGCGGTGGTTACATTTCATGCACTTGGCTATGTAACCCTCCTTGTCCATGAGCACCCACGGCGTGAGAAAGGGATTATGCGCCTTTGTTTAGCTAAGAAATAACATCTTTTTATGAACTATTTTAGCCAAATTTAGTTTAAAAATACTAAGGCCAGTCTCCGTGGGAGTTTCATGGCTTTGTTTCGAACTCCCTTATGTCGGAATGAAAATCATTTTATTCCCATGAAACTATTTTCATCTCTTCCTTCATTTAAACTATGCCACATAAGCTTATTTAATGGGCATGAAACTCCTGTTGAGACTTGCTTAATAGTTAGTTGTTCTATTAGCTTGATTTGCTAGTAGATTAGCCAGACCCGTTTGGGTCCACATCGAGTTAGTCTTGCAGCTAACTAATACATCAGTGGAAACAAAACTTGCTGGGGTTTAAAAATTTGACAATGCCAAGTTTATATGATCACAATCAAGCAAATGGGTTTGAGTGTGAGGCACCTTAGTGAGTGCTTGTTCACAAGCGACCGATCACAGATCAACAAAAGAGCTAGTTACAGAAAAAATAACATCAGGTGGAGGTGCGGGGAATCGAACCCCGTGCCTCTCGCATGCGAAGCGAGCGCTCTACCATATGAGCTACACCCCCGTTGTGATCTGTTGCACACTATCGCTTATATATGAATACTCAGCAGTGAACGAGTAAGCACGGTGCATGCAGGAACAGATTGAATGGAACGGGCCCAAGTACGGCTGGGCCGGCCAGTCGTTACTGTTTGTCTGGACGCGCACGCAGCCTAATCGATCACCATGACTGATGTGCGTGCAGGCTGCGGGCCTACTACTAAGACGCCCGGCCCAACATGCTGCACTCCATTGATCTCAAAAAAAAAAAAACCACATTAACTCCCTAACTTTTACGAAAGTTTTTTTTCCTCTCTCAACTCTAAAATCAAGTAAACCACATCCCTGAACTTTTAAAACCAAACGGTGCGTTTTACCTCCTGGCCGGTTATAAGTGGTTTTCAAAGACGGTTTTGCCTTTTTCTTTTTTATTTATTTCAGCTGAATCTTTGAGAAATCATAGTAAATCACAGAAAAAACCATAAAATATAAAATCTAATTTTGTTGAACTCCACATGAGTAGATCTACATAGTAAGTATATAATATGGTATGATTTATTACATTTTTTTTGTTGTACCTTTAGATTTATGCTTAAATGCAGTTTCTGTGGTTCAATTGTGGTGAAATTTTTATGGTGGGCTAATCATTGTATGCTTGAACTGTAGTAAAAAAAACTCTTGTATTTTTTGCGACGAAAAAAACTCTTGTCTTTTGCTTCAACCCGTGACGACATTAAGGATTACCTTTTTCTCTTATAATGTCAGTATTTTGAACGGTGTTTTTTTCTCTCACAATAAATTAGGCGGAACAGTATTTTTGCTTGTTTTTTCGGTGAACCGAACGGAGGTCTAAGGTATAGACTAGCCACAATGTTGCAAAATGCCGGTGCCCAAACACTCTCTCTCCTCTCCGAGCATCGATGCCTAACATTGTGGCCGATCGAGTTGCTGAAAAAAGCTGGCACGGGTCAAGTAGGTTCACCGATGCCTCAAACATAAAAAAAAAAATGCTATGGGAGGCGACCTTTTTTGCGCGACTTCAGCGCTTGAAACGAATGAGAAGGAAGGGGAAAGGGGGTGTGGTGGGGTCCATGCATGTGGATAGCCACGGTGCCCACGTTGTGGCTTAAGCAGGAGTTGCACCAGACGACGTGGTAGGATAAAAAATTTAAGCATCGTAAGCTAGTCTAAGGAAGGCTAGGCTCTCACATTTTTCGCGGCAAGCGCTGGCTGGCGTTGGCGTTGGCGTTGGCGTTGGCGTCCAGTCATCCTTCCACCTTTGGGCTTTTGTCTTGGCTTGGCTGCGCAAACGGCCAATCGCTTTCATTCATATCCGTTTATTAGCCGCCGAAAACGGCCAGCCGCCCAGGCCCTTGACTTGCCCGCCCGGCCGGCCGTGCTCGGAGGCGAGCCGACGATGCCCCTCGGCCCCCTCGGCCCTCGGCTGAGCGGAAGGGAGACGAAACACCGCACCACGCCAGCATAAACTGTGTGTCGAGACGGTGTGGCACCCACCGGACCGGAGCGGACCAGCGAGTGGTTTCAGGTGCGGGCCTGCGGCGGAGTTGGTGAGGAAAGCGAGCGGCGCGCGGGCAGCGAGAGGCGAATGCGACCCACCTACTCCAGCGAGTGAGTCCCATTTCATGACGCCACGCCACGCCAGCCAACCAACGCCAGGCACGCCACTAGAGGCCACTCGAACCGAGGGACCCACCCCGCCCACCTGACCTTTGCATCCCATATCCCATCCCCTCCCCGTGTGCCGAGTCCACGGCCGCCTCTACTTTTTTGTTTTCTCTCGGCGCCTTGCCTTGCCTTGCTTCCCCTGCAGTGCAGAGCCTCCAGGCCTCCACCAGCACCACAACCAAGACAAGAGAGGCACAGCCGCACAGGGCACGCGGTTTCTGGAAGCTTCCCTTGCCTTCCCTCTCATTCGGTTGGCCACCTCGGACCCAAATCCGCCGCGGCTCCTCCGCCCGCAGCACCGCCAGCCAGGCAGGTGCCGCCCCGCCCTCGGTACGACCGCCGGATTCATCACTGGGGTTTTGTCTCCCCCACCCCCCACACCAGGCACCACCAGCCTCGGCCCCGCCGTCTCTCCAAGGCTGTCCCGTCCCGTCCCGTCCACGGCCTTGGTCGAGTCGTGTCCCTCCGCCGCCCGGCATGCCGAGGCTTGCCCCCCACCGCCGATCGCACACGGTACGTACGCTTCATATCATGCTCCGCCCCTCCCTCCCTCTCTCGCTTACCAATTCTCATGACGATTTTCACCTGTCGCTTTGCGGCTACTGCAAGAGTGCTTGTGCTTGTGCGTGTTATTAGTGCTACAATCATGAGCAAGCCGCGCCACACTGCTCGATGCGCACTCCTAGAATGCAACCTCCTGATTGCGGAAATTATGCGATTCGGAGATTCAGTTCGCCGCTCGCCGCTCGCCGCTTGTGCTAGTCATGCCATGCCGTGCCAAGACAAGCAGAGAGAGCATCTGGGGAAGGGACGGCACGGGACGGGACTCGAGAGGGAACAAGTCAGCGTTGGCGGGCTGTCCGGTTCCCGTCCGTCCGATGCAGCTTCGACGACCGCGATCTCCCCAACGGACGGCTAGCTGCCATCCGTCACACTGCTACTGCTGGTCTGCTGCGCCCACCCCGCCCGCCGCACTCTTCATTTGCTTCGCTTCCGACCTTCCGTTCCCCTCCCCCACCCCTGAGGCCTTGTCCCTCCTCCCCACCCCCAATTCTCCAGCCTCCTCCGGGCTTGCTGCTCCAGCCAGCCCTCGCGCCCGCCGCCGCGCACACGCCAGATTCCCTTTCCGCCGTTAAGAAGCACGCTCCATTCGAATCGATCCGTCCGTGACCTCTCGTTCGTGCAGATCCGTCTAGACTGACTCCAGTTGGTTTCCTCGCTTCTCCTTCCCGGTAAGGACGCCCAAGCTTGCTTCCACCTTGCAATTGGATGGATTGTTCTTCTACCTAGCCTAACTGTTAGAGTTGCTCTGTGGGGTCTTCGCTGGCCTCTCCGTTCTTCCGTGCGAGTAATTAAGCCCAAATCCTCTCACTGTCTCTCTGTCCGTCCAATTTGCGATTCCTGTTGCTGCGCGGTTGGTAGCCTAGTAACAGCAGTGGATTTCTTCTCGTTCAAAAACAGCAGGGGATTTCTCACACGGTAATTTTTTTTTAAAGAGGGGGAGTTCAATTCAACCGTATCCCCTTATGCCCTGCCCCAGCGCGGTGCCCCCACGTCTCGCCGAGCAGTGACTGCCACTGGTGGTCGTAGCTGTAGCGTCGCGCTAGTTGCTGTGTGGACGTGTGGTCCGGCTGGGTGATTGCCCCCCTCCGCTTGCTGGGGCTTCCTCCGTCTCCAGACGAGTACACCAACGTGCACGCGTGTTTCTCTTTTGTACCCATGTGTTAACTTTGGAATCGTACTTAAGTTTCCTAATATAGAAGGGGCCCCTTTTCTCCCTGCAGGTTATATGATTGCAATGAATCCTGAGATCGTACTACCGTCTTGGAAACAAGTAAGCTGCCAAAGTGTGTATGTACTGTGTGTCATTACTTGTATGAGATGAGATCCCGCGGTCAATCCTGTGAAACACTAGACCACTCGTCACCTTGCAACTGGAAAGGAGAGAGCAAAGTGATTTGCTGTCTCCTGGTGATCGATGCTCTTGAGGCCTAGTGATGGCTGATGCTAGCTCAAGGACTGACACCTCGATTGTTTTAGACGACAACGACAAGAATCAGGGGGTAATTCTTTTTTCTTGATTTTGATGTTCACAGGGTTCATCGTATTCTTTTCAGAAGATATTTCAAGTTGGCCCCGGCCATTGGAGCATCACATCTATATATTTTCCATATATTCTTCTCACACTAAACAGTATATACGACTATGCTAGTACCTTAAGTCTATCACACTGTGGCTACCAAAAAGTTGAATACCATTGCTGGATATTTGAGGTGAAGTATCAAATTACTGGACTAGAGGCTGCGACATTCTGCTTCACCAATAATCTGCTTAAGATATCATCTCCCTCTATAGAGATATTTGCACCCTTTAAACCTTGAAAAATCCATCACTGTTGTCCTCAAAAATAAAAAAATCCATCACTGACACACATCTCTATAAGTTGAGATATTTGGAATGCCTAACTGATGTTATATTTGTGCTTAACATTTTTTTTACAGATGGAGAACGGAAGTGGTGCGGTTGTACCTTCTAATTCTTCAGATAGGTCCGACAGGTCTGACAAACCTTTGGACCAAAAGGTAATATCGTGGTTCCTTTTTCTCAAGTTCTTATTTAACCTTGTATTGCCTGTTGTTAATTGCATTTGTGAATTTTCATATCTTAGACAATGCGACGGCTTGCCCAAAATCGTGAGGCAGCAAGAAAAAGTCGGCTGAGGAAGAAGGTATCACTAAATTTCATCCTTATTCGAACAAATTGAGATGTTCTTTTTAGCATGAATAAAGTATTATTTGGAAATACACTTGACTAGTAGTTATGTAACCAAAATAAGCTGGTTATCTAATTTTATATGTTAATTTTTGCTGATAGGTTGAACTGCATGTTATGTACTGTAGTTTCATGTCATTGAGTCTGTTTTCTTTTCTGTGATGTTTAATAAATGGGCAATTGGCATTTAAGATTCGACTCAAATGCAACAGGCAAAATACTGCTTCATGTAATACAGACTCCATTAAATTTTTAATTGTCCATGCTTATGCAATTCGATTGTGTTAAATAGTAGCATAGTTTCTACGAGTTATTCCTTTTGAATTCTTATTAGGCCACTAAAAAAGTAAAAACCTAACATGTTTCTTTTTTATTTGGTGAAGGCATATGTGCAGCAGCTGGAGAGCAGTAAGCTGAAACTTGCACAACTGGAGCAGGAACTCCAGAAAGCTCGCCAGCAGGTAACTCTTTCTTGGTTGCATGTATGTTTACTGAGTGCTTGGAAAATAGTACCTTTTGCTGTTATTTTGACTCATTTGAATATTACTTTCAGGGAATCTTCATTTCAAGCTCTGGAGACCAAACCCATGCCATGAGTGGAAATGGTAATATTTTAATTTGTTATATCTGTGTGACTTGTTTCTGGATTTAATTAATCTATCATTAGAAGTGCATCTGAAATTATAAAGTTGTTGCAGGAGCATTGACTTTTGACATAGAATATGCTAGATGGCTAGAGGACCAAAATAAGCAGATAAATGAGTTGAGGACTGCAGTGAATGCTCATGCAAGTGACAGTGATCTACGACTTATTGTAGATGGCATAATGGCACATTATGATGAAATATTCAAGGTCAAAGGTGTTGCTGCAAAGGCTGATGTATTTCATATACTTTCAGGCATGTGGAAGACACCTGCTGAAAGGTGCTTCCTGTGGCTTGGGGGTTTTCGTCCATCTGAGCTTTTAAAGGTGTGCGAAGTATTCATTCGCAGGCTTTTTTTTTTTTCTGTGCCCTCATTGGAAATGTAAGATTGCTGATTTCTCTCATAATGGAAAATTTCAGCTCCTAGCGAATCACCTCGAGCCCCTAACTGAGCAGCAAATGCTGGGTTTGAACAACCTCCAGCAATCTTCCCAGCAAGCAGAGGATGCATTGTCACAGGGCATGGAAGCACTGCAGCAATCTTTGGCAGAGACTTTAGCTGGATCTCTTGGTCCATCAGGTTCTTCAGGAAATGTGGCAAACTACATGGGTCAGATGGCCATGGCCATGGGCAAACTTGGGACACTCGAGAATTTTCTTCGCCAAGTAAGCATCTTCTTTGTATCCTTGTGGGCGATATGTTGTCATTCAACAACCTATGTGGTTTTAGGCGTCACTTGTGCAGTGTTTATTTGGTTTCGTTGCATTAGTTTTGAAGATTAATTCTGTTTTATTTCTGCAGGCCGACAACCTGCGACAGCAGACATTGCATCAAATGCAACGCATTCTAACGATCCGGCAGTCTTCTCGTGCTCTTCTTGCCATCCATGACTACTTTTCGCGGTTGCGTGCTTTAAGTTCTCTGTGGCTTGCTAGGCCGCGCGAATAACAAAGGATCGTCGCTGTTTTGAGTTCCCTGTGCTGGCTGTTGGGAATTCTATGGCTCGCTGGATGCCTGGATCGCAGCGACCCATGACAGATCATTCATGGTCCTGTTTTTTTGTTGTGCAATTACTTTTGGCTGCTGCTTGGTCCAAAATGTACTTAAATGGTGTACAAGTAGGTGAATCCTTTAAGTTATGGTGATTTATGGGGTGTGTTAGCAATAATATTTAGATAAATCAGGATCAGGGCTTTTGTTGTTTGTACTGGTTAGAGATTTAGTCCTAAATGTAACTCCTGGGGGACATGGGGGGCAGAATGGGAAGAGAGTAATAAGAGTCTTCCTTTGGTTACTATATGTTGGTATTATTGCATCTCAGTTGCTCACTTTGCAGTCAGGATAATGATTATTGTATCCATTTTATGTGCTTTGATGGATGTTGTTTGTAACCCACAACATGATTATGACCGCTAGTTCATACTGCAGTAGCTGGTCTTATCATATCCATACAACAGCAGTGGTTGAAGGCACTCCTTGAATAATCAGCAGTTGAGGTTGATCATGCTATTTGCAGCCTCTGCAGCAATGACGGGATGAAGTGGCATTCGATTTTTTGCTACATTGTGTTGCGTGCTGCTCAGCTCTGAGAGCAGCAGAGCGTTTGCAGCGGAAGCGGAGGGTCGCTGTACTCCGCCGACAGCAATTTTGTCGGCGACGATCCTGTTGGCCGCCTCCGTGTAGTGCACAGCCCGTCCCAGCTGATGCGCCGGTCGGCGCACGCCTTCACCTTGGCGCTCCCGCACGCCTTCCCGGCCTCGTAATTGTACGGCGCGCCGCGCCGCTGCTGCCGCAGCACGCCGTCAGCGGATCACTGAACCCTGAGCAAACCACCACGAGACAGATGAAGCTTCTGATCTTTCTCGGTCGCCGGAGCCTACATGATGGCTTCATTCGGACTCACCGTGCACCCTGTGGTTGGTGAAGAGACCGTACTTGACGGCGTACATGTCGACGCACACCACGGTGGAGTTGGCGAGCTCGGCGTGCAGGTCGCGGCAGAGCCGACCGAGCCGCTCGTTGAAGGCCCCGGCGACGCGGTTGTGGGCGGCTAGGCAGCCCGCGCCGGCGAGCTCGCCGGTGCCGGCGCCTCGCCACGCCAGCGTGCTGGGCAGGCACCCCAGTGGCCCTGTGTTGTAAACACAAACTTGCGGCCGCCGGCCTCGTGCACCATCTGCATGCATGCGCAAAATGTACGTAGGAATGAGCATTGGACAGGATGCCAGGGCCCAGGGCCGTGTCGTCGTGGCGACGAACGCAGAACGTACAGCAAGGCAGGCGTTTGGTGCCAATTGCCATGCATGGTGGACAGACGAAGAGGGACGGGTACCGTGAGCGCGTTTCTGATCCGTGTTACGATGGTCGGGACGATGCTCTCCAGGATGCGCTTTGGCGGGAGGTTGGCGGTGAATAAGGCGGCCTGGATGTCGTTCTGGCCGATGTCTTCTCAAACTCCTCCATGATGCCGGCCGAGTCCTAGCCGGAGGAGATCCGCCGTCCGGGACTTGAAGTGCCGGAACTGCCGCACCTGCGTCCCCAAAGCTGAACTGGCTGCACTCTCCGCCACCATAGTGACACGGATACCACAGTGACACTTAGTTTGGGACGGAGGGAGTACTGGGCCCCGTTCGGTTCCGTAGGAACCGTTCACAGCCAGACCATTTCTTCACAAAATTGTATAAAGCTGGAATTATTACGGGCGTGGAATGGCCCATTCTGGAGGAAACGGACGAGACGTTAGTCTCTTTCAATCCTCTTCCGATCCATTCACCTTCAATTAATAATCTTCATCAAACCGAATAAGACCTAACGCCGTCTTCACCAAACCGAACAAGACCTAACCTCTTCCAATTCTCCATCAATATAATCTTCACCAAACCGAATAAGACCAAACGCCGTCTTCGGCAAACCAAACGAGACCGAACGTCGATGTCGTGACACGCATGCAGCAGGTATACGTTTCAACGCCTGAATTCCAAACTAACCAGCCACGTGAGACCGTCGTGCCAATGGTCAGTCTCCACGCTAGCTAGCTTCCTTAATCCTTATCCATCATCTTCATCTATCTATCCGGCGAGTCTTGTTGTCACGGAAGCACTACAGCGATCCAACGCCCTGGCCCTGAGGCTACCTAAAGGCTGATGCCAGATGGGTCGTCGTGTCAACTCAGTGTTCCCTTGCTGTTCTTGACGGAAAGTGATCACCGGTACATAAATGGGACAGGCCTTTATGCAAAGGACACCTGGAGCAAAGGGCCATATCATACACAGCGCGTCTCTAGTGGACTGATACACTTCATCAAATCTAATTCTAGTAATCTCTCTGCACAGTGCACAGATACAGTGCACTGTGCCTCTTGTGCCATGATATCAAACAAAGGAAATGGTAAAAAGAGAAGCGAAATTCGCGCAGTCCCATGCCTCTGTATCAACCGATGAACAGGGCAAAGATAGAGAATCAGTGTAATGCTTCCATGTAACAAAGGAGATAACACCCTTTTATAGATCAGCCATGTACAACACAATCCATTAATGTTTGAATTGCAAGAAATAAATTCTCAAAAGTCATTTTGTTCTGAAAAATGATTCATAGGCCATAACAAGCCAAAGCCAAGAAAAAATACAGGAAGCTTTGACCTGCAATAAGCCATTGACATCCCATTTCGGCATTTCTTGCGAGTCATGTGATGATGACACAAAAATAATTGGCGCTAGAGTGATACATTCTGCTTCTTCTGCTGCCTGCTTTTACGCTAAGATGCAAAGCTTATAAAACCCTCCATGCCCGTATTACAGGTACTTCCTTGCGAGGGTCCTGACCTTGGTATCAAAATGAGAGGATGTGATGCGAGAGCCAGGCAGGTAAAGCGGGTTGAGGAATATCTGCATGGCAGCAAACAAATTTACTGTGTAGTATTATACAACCAAACAGAGAATTGTAAGTTGGAGTGGGGCAAATGTGTAAACTAGAATGTAGTCAATGCATATTTCACAACTCATCATGGAAACTGTGCATAACCATACATCAGCATTAACTTCACAAGATACAGAATTAAAAAAAAGCAATCCATGCAATTTTCGAAACCATTGCCACCATCCTCATGAAAAATTCAGATAAAAAGAATAGCAAAAGATGCTTGAGTACTGTCGAAAATGATGTGTGGCACAAATAGAGGCACCACAATTGAATATCATGTCCAAAGATCGACTTATGAATGCATACTTGGTCCAGCACTTAGCACTCTAGAATACAGTGGGGGAAAGTCTCCCGATTGTAGATTAGTAGTAATTGTCTTACCTTGATGTAAAGATCATGGACCTCTTGAAAAAAGCTTTTTATTCCATCTTCACTACGTGAGTCGTGAAGCAGCATGAATATGGTATGTGTCATAGTTGCAGTTAAAGAAAATATAATACTGCTATGATCAAACTTTGAAAACCGAACATAATGATACATAGTCAAATCTCATTTAAAACAACCAAAAAAACTGTCATCGTCACTTTTTAAAGGATATGACCAGCAGTTACATAAACAGACACCACAAGGTCATTGAATCTATCAACTGACTTCAGGAACCTGGGAAAAAAAAGAAAATGTAAAAAATCAAAAGTTTCTAGGTGAGGTAAAAGGTATATAAAATAATAGAAGAATAACTTTGGGATGTGATTTCATTCTTTGCACACAGCCGACAACAAAATACAAAACCAATAAAATACTCACATTGCATTTGTGGTCCATGCTAGGTCCTGAACAACATCTAACGCAGCATGCAAGATAAACTGATGGTGATAAGACAAATCTTCTTTCTGCAAAGAAAGAAAATGGCAAGATTAGGCATAGACATCAGTAATTCAGTATGGATATGCTGCTCAAAAAACAAAACAAAAAAGAAAATCCCTGCCATGAAGGATCTAAAGTAAAGCTACAGTTTTATATATCTGTATACTTGAGAAACATCTCAGTTTTAATCTCAACAGAAGAAATTTTAGAGAAGCAAACCATCCCATTAAACATCTTAGTTTTTGCTGAGTAAGAATGGATATGAAGAGCCTGATCCAACATAAATTAATGAGTAGGGACGGATATGAAGAGCCTGATCCAACATGACTAAGTCAGTCTATTGACTATTTCCACATCAGAGTTTCTTTATCATATCAACAGAGTGAAGTGGTGCACATCTTGGAGAAAAATGCAATGTTATAGATATAGCCAGATAGCTAATTGTAATCTGAACCTATTATATAGGAAGTACATGAAGTTCAAGGTACTGACTTTGGGTGCAGATCCAACTTCTGCCTCATAGATCGGGATGTGATTCTTACTGACAATCACAAAGCATGCTGTACTTGCCATTCCAACCAGCACCTAGAAAAATTTCCCTCGGACAACTTCAGATGTTGCAAACAAAGAAAAATAAAGATAGTTAGGATGAAATACCATGCAACATATAAACAGTTTATCAGAAAAAATTAACACAGCCCAATATCCTAACCCCACAAGGATGGAATTATACATTTAAACCAGGTAATGAACAAATGATTATAGATGGCCAAAGACACATAAAAGTACAGTTCATCATCAATGGTAGTCTTATTAGATGGCCAAAGACACATAAAACTACAGTTCTGCATCAATAGTAGTCTTAACTGAAACTTATGCATGCCTTCTGTTTCTCGTTCCTAGAGCCACTGAATTATTACACCCTGATGACCTTATGGCATAGTTCCGCTAGGCGCTCACCTAGGCGCGACTAGGCTCTAGTCGGAGGGTGTCCGCCTCGCCTATGGGGGTAGGCGGACCCCTAGGCGGCGGCGGCTCGTCGGGCGGGCGGCGGTGGTGGTGGAGGAGCGCTGGCGGAGGTCGTCGGTGGGGGAGGAGGAGCTGCTGAAGCGGCGGCGGAGCGCGGGCGGGCGGCCTCGCTCGCTTATGGGGGGTAGGCGGACCCCTAG